TTTAACGTAAGTTAACGTACGTTAATAATTATTAACTTTAATTATTTAGCCCTACCTCGTATTAATAACACACGCAGACAATTCGCGCATCATATTTCATCACGCCACCACCTGGTCGTTGAAATGCTGATGCGCTTATTAGTGGTGCGGGTATTCGACCGGTAAATATTAATGTTTGCTGGAAGAATGCAAAGTAAGCATTCTCTCACACTTCTGTCAAACTATATTAAGCCACAAAATGAAATAATAAATCAGATTGTTTTTACACGTCCACATAAGTGGATATCAATCCCAAAAAATCGTTGTTTTACTAATTCAAAATATCACCATAGGTGATAAACGGTAAAAACGTTAACTTACACAAGGTTGAGAATAAGAGCGGCATCTATTTTGAAGGAATTGGAACCACAGAAGTATTAACGGCAGAGTGGAAACTGATCACTTATTATGATCTTTCCCCATTTTGGGCAGGTATGGATGGCTTTCTACCGAGATAAGAACCCTTCTGAAGTTGTGTAAGATAGCAGTTGAGACTGAAGCTGTGAAATACTTCAAAAATTTCATTTAAGTACAGAAGCACTGAACATATTCCCCAGGCGCATCAGGCGAGGAGCTCTAAACATAGTCGGGAACCTCGCACACTCGTTATTTGGTGTCTTGGACTCGGAATAAGCAAGCAACATCTGTTGGATCTTCTAAAAAATCGGACATGTATTATTGATTCAACAATCAACATAATCAGAAAGGATGCATATACGAGCCAAAGGAACTTCGGCAACATGCAAGTAAAAATTAACCTTCTGACAAATAAGGCGAAGAAAGAGGAAGATGTTGTAAAGGCAACACAATAAATTATGTTCCTCACTTCGCAGTTGAAACATATAGAAGATAACCTAATCGACGTTTTAGCGGATGCCCATCATGGTCGGATAAGTCCATTGCTACTTACTCCACATCAATTGCTACTAGAGTTCCAAACCATCAAGGCTCATTTTCCTCCATCTCGTGCTCTACCGATTCGCGAAGATAATGTTCCGAATTTCTTCAAACTAAATAAGAGTAAGGGAAGGGTTATGAAAAACCAAACCATATTCGACATTTGCCTTCCACTAGTGAATCTCCAGCAGTATGATTTATTCAAAATTATCCCCGTACCTATGCTGTTATCCGGTCGATTTATTTCAATAGCTTTGAAATCAACATTATTGGCAGCTAACTTCCATCGGGATGAGTTTATATCGCTAACAGCAGAAGAAATACATACCAGAAATGACTTTTTCATTTGTGACAACCAAGCGAAGTTTAGCAAAGGCGATCTGTCACATTTACGCACCACCAAACTTGGAGACAAATGGAACAAAAGAAGGAATGGATGTTTACTCTAGCCAATTCAACAGAATCGTCCTTTGTTTGTGGTACAAAAATGACACACCTGGCGGTGCAAGGAGCTGGAACTTTAGAAATTGGACTGTATTTTCAAAGACAACACATTTACAGTATATAGTCATTACGAAAACAAAACAACAGTGCACACATCATATCTGAGACTTAAGCCACTGGATTCCATAATCTCAGGCAGCTAGATTGTCTTGCTTAGCAAAATATTAAACAGCACCTATGAACTCGTCACCTTACACCAACAGCTAAAAACTATTGAAATCTGACGCTTTCTACAACTAATGAAATCGACGGTCATTCACCATCATACCATAACCTATACGTCACTGTCACTGTAAATTTTCGCCACCACACCTACCCCCGGCAGTCAGTTTAATCATCATACGTCATTGACCAGATAGTTTCTTGAACCTCCTCGTTCAACGTGGGGGAGAATGTTCAAAAAAACATATTTTACATATACATTTTTACTTTTGTTATTATTATAATTTTATTCTATGTCAGCATATAACTGACGTATATAATTATTGCTTGCCTTATGCAGGCCAATAACCTAAATAAATAAACACCTCGATTAGTTTCACATTGAATTGGTTATTGGCTGAAGTAATTTATTGCTTACTTTACTTTAAATGCTAGTTTTAATGAAATCTTAAATGTATAAATAGCAAGCAAAAATAAATATTCTTAGGGCCTGGGAAAAACAGGTTATCAAAAAATTTTACATTAGAACAAAAATTTTAGCTACAAAGCATCAGAGATATATTTCCATCATTTGCGAAAGAGGGCCAGGGAAAAATAAACCTTATATACCATACAATAAATACAGGTGATGCAACACCAATAAAACATAGGCATTTTCCAGCGTCTCCGGCAATTGAGAAGTTACTCTATGAAGAGCTTGATAGAATGCTAGCTATGAGGATGATAGATTAATCTTCCAGTCCATAGTCTTCCCCCATTGTTCTACATAGGAAACCTGGAAAGAATCGCTTATGCTTAGATAGCAGAAAACTTAATTCCGTAACGCTTATCCATTTTCTCATATCGAAGGATAAATTTCCGCCTGCCTAAGGCAGATTATATATCAAGCCTTGACCTCGAAGAAGAGTTTTGGCAGATGCCTCTTGATGATTCGACGAAAGGTAAAACTGTCTTCACGTTTCCTGGGAGACCACTCTACCATTTTAAGATTATTTTATTCAGCTTATGCGTCGCCCCTCAAACGATGTATAGGTTAAAGTAGTACCAGCGTCTCTCAGAACAGAAGTGTTGGTCTACCTGGACGATCTTCTGGTGCTGTCTCCAAACTTCGAGAGGCATATCAAAGTGCTCATGAAAGTGGCTAAGCCCCTTCGAAAGGCCGGGTTAACGATTAAAGTAAATTTTGTATGAACGAAGACCGGTATTTAGGTCGCGAAATCGGTAATGGTACCATTCGAAGAGATCTATCATGGAATTTCCAAGGCTTAGATCTGTTAAACAGCTGTGCCGGTTTCTGGATATGTCAGGTTGGTACCAGAAGTTCATTAGAAACTATGTTGCGATTTCGAGTGCGTTAACCGATTTGTTAAAAATTAATAGAAGGTTTATTTGGAAATTATTATGATATATCTCCGATTATGATGATATATCTCCAGTTCCAAGTAGAATTTCATAAAGTTATATAGTCTAAGTTACTTTCGGGCGATGTTATAGTACACTGGGAAATTTTCAAGAAAATCTGTTCAGCGGTATTCGAGTACATAAATTAAAAACAAACAATCAATCGTACAAACTTTTATAAATATAGATTCATTCCTGACAAAATGAATGACAAATTCATGAAGGCTTTCCGCAAGTAACTTATGAAAAGCATTGCCATGCATTAAAAGATGTTTTGCAAAAAGTTAAACCAAAGAATCCAATTTGTATACTGGGTGACTTTAATATACCAATCATTTTGTGGAATTTCATATGACATTCATGAAATTCATATGACTTGAAAATCTAGTTGGAACTTCTGTTTGTAAATCCAATGTTTTAAATTCTAATTGTAACATTGGATTCTCACGGTGTTAGTTCTTTGTGTAAAAGCCCTCATAAATTCGCTTGGCCCTGGTTATCACTTATCCTCTGGACGTGAAATCCTGTTCCTGGAAAGATTGTTTTTTTTTTTCACTTTACATTTCGTTTTATTATGCTTCTGGCAAGAATGATTTTTCACTAAGATTTCTCAAATATGGTGTAACTAATATTTCGGTGTTGCTTTCTTACATATTTGTTCTTAGGATTCCGTTTGCCCCTGCTATCTCCACATATACCTAAAAGCTATAAGATGGTTACTGTGAGAGCAGCATAAAATTTTATCATTAACCAGTTATTTCTGTTTCATCGGTTGATTAATATGCAAAGTTGGCAGCTATTTTTTAGATCTTAAGGACAGGAATAACAATTTCATAATTTGTCAAGCCTTTAAAAAAAGTATATATATAAAAAAGGTATATATATAGAGTATATATCTAATGGTGGCGTTGTGTTCGTTTATTGGACTTTGATAATTGGCTCGTGAAAATAAAAAAATAAAATATTTAATTATTTCGTTTAAACATATATCAAATAAAACAAACAGTGAAAAAATACTTGAAAGTGAATTTTTTTTTTGCAAATTGCGTTAACCTCACCTCCCTGAAAGGCCTTTCGTTGTAGGAGCTCCAGCAACCTAAACAGTAAATCCCAATATCTTGAACATTAACATACATAGAGCAAATTCAAATGGATTCCGCATTTGAGGAGTGAGCCGTTATTTCTCTCTGACATGATCTGCTGGAACAGGAAAGATGCTGGAACGCTCTTGTGGTTTTCCAGCCATCACGAATAACTTTTTTTCTGGAAAATTCTCACCAAAATGCTTTTGTACGCTCGTAAACAATATAATGAACTCACTGCCATAATTTTAACAGCTGTCGGACTAGTGGCTTGGGAATGATTTGATTGCAGTTTTTTATCTCACCCTATATATATATATATTATTTTTTCATATATACTCGTAATATATTAAAGTAAAATTAACTGTAAAATTAATATTATTCTGGAGTTCACTTTTTTCTTGCGTCCCTAATAATTATTTGCCACTTTTGCTGTTAATAAATATTTATAAATGTTACATATGATTTTGTAACAGCTTGGAGTTTCGTTCGATAATCTGTGTTCTCGTGTGTTGTCTTGACATTTTGTCTTTTACTACTTTCGTTACGCGTCCGAGGCAAACGAATTAGAGGAATGCTCGAATTTATTTCTCCTCCGCAATTCCGAATCAATTCTTTTCCGATTTTTGTTTTGGTTTACTTTTTATTAAAGATTTAATCTATTGACTTAACTTCATTTTATTGTCTATTACAAAGAGAAATGATTTTCGAAACAAAACGTGTTAAAATATGCACAGATAATTCAATATGAGAACAATAATAATATAAATAGAACAATAACAATACAACATGAAATCCTACTCTTATGTAGACGTAAAGGTTAGTAATTGTAAAACCTTGCTGAAACTTAGTATAAGTTAAGTTTTACAAACAGATATGGTCAAAATACCAATTCAATTCATCCATTGAACTTACTTGCAAAACGTGGGTCATTCGCTGTCGTTCCGTACCATGTCGTTGATCGCATATCACTGTAATGACCTGCTAAAGATAAATTATCCGTTGGTCCACAATAACTTTGTACACTAGGGCTGTGGTAAATAGAACCCATTGTATATGGACTTGTCATGATTAAAAGACACAATGTGCAAGAAAAAATTAGACCGTATTTGTTGAATGTGACCTGTAAGATAAGAATACTTATTATATTATATTACAAATATATACAGTAGCTTTACGATTTAACGGACTATATAATGCAACCTTGTTTGTTAAATTGATAAAATGAGTAATGTTTATAACAAGGCTTACACAATGTCTTTATTATAGTTTTAAATTAAAATTAAGTTCTCCATACAATAAATGCATACCAACATTTTTATTAAACTCTTGCTTGGAAATGAAATTTTAATGAATAACTCAAACTAAAACAAGTAAAAAACATCTAAGTTCGGCAGGAACGAAATTTTAATACCCCATTTTGAAAGAACTGGAAATCTAAAAAAAATGTCGTCGAAACATTCAGATTAACTGAAAACCGTTATATGGGGCCTAAACAAATACGAAATGTGAAACATAATAACGTCACTAAAATCATTAAAATACCAAATATCGGGAGCATCGTTATATGGTGGCTATACGAAGACGTGGATCTGCTTCCCCAAATTTTGTCAGAGGCTGTGGTACCCATTACGAACTTTAAATGCGAAATTTGAAATAATTCAGTTCTTTAATGTCTTTAATACCATAAAAATGTCGAATATTGGGAGGTACCCTTATATAGGAGCTATACGAAAACGTGGACCTGCATAAGAAATGTTTTGTCATTGGTACGAAATTTGAACAATTTTGGTCTAAATGTTGCTATACGAAAACGTGGACCGACATGACCCATCTTCGAACTTAACCTACCAGTAGTAAAAACACATGTCTAGATGATTAGCCTTTGTCTAGATGATTAGCCTTTGTCATATTGCAATTTATTGGAACATTTAGTAATCATTTTTGCGGCACGTTGCTGTGCCATTTGGAGTCTGTACTTCACTTCTTGTTTAATAAGAGTCGATATTATAAAGCGGTTCTACAGTATATAAGCCAAGAGTAAAGTAAAAAACTAGAATACAATAAATGTTAACTTTAATGTTCCAAATATTTTTTAACATATCAAATTTTAATATCCCAACAATATTGTTATAAACACCATAAAGTATATAAATATTCATTATCAGAACAGTGTTGGCTTCTTTGTTCGAGATACCATAGTATTTTGTTGTTGCAAAATGGTCAGACTTAATCCCTTTATTGTTGTTTTTATAAAATCAACGTTTATTTATAAGTGGAGAATGATGGTAAAGTTTACCAGGGGTAAGGCATTCATTATCAGCACAAAATTCTATGCCGATTTAACGATGTCCGTCTGTCTGTTAAAATCACGATGCAGCACACATTATTTGACGTAGAGCTTCAATATTTGCAGAATAGTTTGTACTTTATTTAGAATGGTTGGTGTTGAAATGAGATATGTCGGTTTACGTTTTGTTATACCCCCAAAAAACGGTACATTCCGATATTCAGTATTTTAATTATTTTTGATTTAATCCCGAAATTAGAAATTTTTAGTCAAACTTTTCCATGAATCTGTCAAAGAAGTTCGTAATGGGTCCTAGCTCTGGTGGAGGAACTTTGTATATGTATGCATACGTTTTTATATGTCCCCCATATAACGGTACCTTCCAATATTCGGTGTTATGATAAGTTTTGCCACGTTTATATTTGTTCACTGTTTAAACGGTATTTTCACATTTACCTACGGAATTTATTCAATTTTTATATTTAAGATTCGCAAAAATAAACACCTTTGTAGTATAAAATTGTCTGCATGTATTTTCTTTTTGGTGAGGGCACCCACTTTATTGTTTTTTGAAACTTTGCTGCATTCCCCAAGCAATCTTTCATGTATTTGTAGTTTCATATGGAATACGTTTGAATCCAGATGATGGTATATATCAATTATGTCCTGGCCGAAATTTATTTTTATACCCTCCACCATACATAGTATGGAAGGTATATTAAGTTCATCATTTCGTTTGTAACTCATCGAAATAATAATTCAGACCCAACAAAGTATATATATTATTGATCAGCGTAGAAGTTTTCTATGCAGGTCCAGATCTTCGTATAGGCCAGATATAACGGTACCTCCCTATATTCTGTATTTTGATGATTATGATTATTTATCGGATTTTTTTTCAATTGTACTGGCATATGACAAAAGTTGCCTATGTAGGTCCACGTCTTCGTATAGATCCCAATATAACGGTATTTTTGAAAATTTAACAGAATTTTTAACGTATTTTATTTTTATTTTTTTTTTATTTCAAAATTCGTTTCAAACGGTTGAGCGTATTCAATGTTCCGCACGGCCGAACTTGCCGCTTTTTTGTTTTTTTTTTTATTTATTTACGTTTAAAACGCATTTGGCAACACAAAGCAGAGAACGTTGAGCTCATTACAGTATATTCAGTTCAAACAAATTACACCAAAAGTTAATGTTTCGTCTATCATTTCTTTGGATTGAATTTTATGGTTGATAGTACTGTCGATATTTTTTACTCAATGGCATATTCATATCTTCACTTCTAATTGCACTAGAAAAAAACTCTTAGAGTTCCCCTTTTTTAATATTTTTCGCAGTACACTCTTAAAAGAGGTTAAGTTCTATTACCTAGGGCATTCCTTGGCTCTTTCAAACTTTTTTCTATAATACTGAAAAAAGTGTTTACATTACGAAAAAATTGATTTTAACTGCAAAAATCTGCAGCTGTGGATCCTACTAGTTTATGAAAATGTCACTTTTACCGTGAATATTTTTTGATAATATTTGTGGGAAGGTATATATTGTTGTATAAATCCAAAATGACAAATAACATCAAAATCTGTTGAAAAATGTTGCAAAATCTTGGATAATCCCTGAAATACGGAAGGGTTTAATAGGAGCTATATCAAAAACATGTTCAATGTTTACAGTTTTTGACACATCAATTTGTTAGCCTATCCCAAAGTAGAATGCTAAATTTCGTCAAAATGTATTAAAACATACGACAAAAGCCCATCAAAGAAGTAACATCGGGGCTAGGGCTCTATGCGAATAATATCAAATATATTATTTTTTACATTATTATACCCTCCGCCGTACTATGAAGGGTATATTAACCTTGTCATTCCGTTGGCAACTCCTCGAAATTCTCATGTCAGACCCAACAGATTACATATATTCTTGATCAGCGTAAAATTCTAAATAGATTTAGCGATCTGTTTGTCAATCTGGTCGTCTATCTGCTGTAATCACGCTATCTTTAGAACGAATTGAGATAGAAGGCTATGATTTTGCACACATGTGTAGTTTTTCGGTAGACACCCAACATACCAAATTGACTTGAGAATAATATTTTAATAAGCTTACAAACATAAGCCTAAAGCTTGAGAAAATCTTGAGAATGTATTGAGAAATGTTTGTTTAACAATTATAGAATAATCGAAAAGGAACCCTTATTCATAAGCTTATTCTTGTAATTGCAGAATAAGCTTACGAAAGTAATATTTTATAAAGCTTATTTTTTCAATGGTAAAAAATATTTATTTATTCATTTTTTAATTATTTTACACATTTCATTCATTGATTGCCATCCCAGCTGTCACTGCATCCTGTTGCCTTGATACCTAGATGCTTTCTTTCCCCTTATTTGAGCTTCTGTATCTCCTCCACTTATTCTTCACTTCTGTTGAATTCCTGCAACTTTTTGACGCCTCCATTCTGAAATGAGATTGAAATAATTTATACTACAGATTCCCAGATTTATTATTCATCTTTACCTTAGAGTTTCGTCCGGAAATGGGTCCTAAATTCGCGTGATTTTGATTTTAACCAAAGAAAATAATTTTTTGTTGACAATTTTCACAAAAAAAATCAAAACAAATTTGTCAACAAAGGACAGATTTGAGAAAAGTTTGTGCAAAAAAGTGTTTCTCAAGCATTGTTGAAAAATTCTTATGATAAACTATTTTCATAATATTATTCTCAAGCTGTATTGTATTTTTGGTATGTTGGGAGGTTAAGTTATATGGGTAATGTAGGTCCACGTTTTCATATAGCCCCCATATAACGGTACCTCCAAAATTCGAAATTTGATGATTTTAGCGATATTTTTTACCGAAATTGTTTCAAATTGTTATTACAAGGAAACTTATCATTTCCAAATATTTATTTTTAGTTTTTAGATGTTCCCAGCGCCTCAACAGCACTTTAAAGTATGTACAAAGTATTTTGTACACCTATGTGGCCAAAATCTTAAAAAGTTCCTCCAGAGTCTGGTTTTTATGCTCAGTTCTCCTATAATTTTTGCATAGGCCCACACAAAGTACAAAGTTTTCAAAGACGGAAGTTTTAGCCGTTATGTCAAGCACTTGTGTCAATGGCAAAGATATCAGAAGCACGTGCAAGGGTTTCCGTAATTCACATAGATTCTTTCGTTCTTTTAAACACTAATTTTCTTGGCATTTCCTGCATTTTTTACCTTAAGCCTTGATGTTTTTAGCCATTCTCTACCACCGATATTTTATACAGACTTTTTCTGGCATTCTTTTGATTCCCGGATGGCCTCCGTACACTGACCCATCATGATACTTTTGTAGGAGATTCATTTTCTGCTCGTCAGCAGATATCTCTTCTAATTTGACGTCAAAGCTATCCTTAGTTTCTTTCATAACTGGTTTGCCTAGTTATTGGCATCATTGATTCGAATCATTTTAAGTAAGACCTCACGTTAGACTTTCTAAAGATTTTCTCTCATATTTCAGGTAATATTCTACACTTCTACCATTGAGAGAAATCTTTAGGTGAACATAATTTTGGACCTCCTTTATATTTAGTTGTTCTTTCTTTGATTTTGATCGCATGGTAACCACATATATATTCTTTATGTTCATGATATTGTCAAAATCGAGTCTGGCTCCACAATTGCCTTTTTCGTTTATGTACTGTATCTCAAAGTCATGTTCCTGTAGATCCAATCTAATTGATTCGACAAAATCAAGTATGTTAATGGGCGGTGATCACTTTTCACCAAATCGGTCTGAAGCATCATCCGCATCAGTAATAATACAAAATTCTTTATTGAAACAGGA